TAACCTTAGAAAATGAAACCCCAAAACCCCAAAACCCCATGAGAATAAAAATAGGATTTAAAATGATTAGTGATTTATATAGTAAGTCATTTTTTAATATGTTTGGCTTATAATAATTCAACAAGGGGATACTTTTCCAATTATGGTTTCATTTTCTAAGGTTATATTTTTGACTAATAATTTATCTACAATTTTTGGAAAGCACATGAGATTCATTGAAATCTAAATCCAAGGTCAAGTTGTTTTTATCAAGCTTCCGCTTGAATGGAATTGTTATCTAATTCTTTTATTGATCAATTAATTAAACAGGAGTTTCAGTTAATTCTCTTCTGTTAGTCGGCTCTATGTCCTCATCCAAAGACTCATCAAAGATAAAATCATACCGATTATTAGTTTATTACTTTTAGAAATCCTTCTTAAGAGTAAGCTTTACTTCTTTAAAAAGCTTAGAAGAAGATTAATCAAGCTGAGGCTGAAGATTATCAATTGTTTATTCTTCAATTAAAATGCTTTTCTCTTCTTCTTCAAATTAGTTGTCCTCACAGATAATAATAGATTACTATTATTGATATTTATTTTCAAAGAATAAGGATTTCTTTTAATTTTTATGTAAACTTGACTAAAGCTTTTCTTTGATTTTTACTTTTAACATAGATTCTTTCTCTAGCATTTGTCTTATTTTTTCTTCATTTTACTAGGGTTGCATAAATCTATTTTAGCCCACGCTTATTCTTGGTTTTTAGAATATTGATTCATCTAATGCTTTTCTTCTAAGATTATCATCTATTTAGAGAGTAGAAAACCTTTACTATGGGGAAAAATTCATCAGATATTCCTTTTTACTGAAATATCTTATTTATCTATACGGTGCTCCTATATAGTGACTCTGTCCAAGTGAAAATTAATTGCTTGGAGATTAATTAGTGCTACCATTTACTCTTAAGATTTAATTTTACTTCGGTCCAATTGGAGGTAGTGGGTTGTCATAATTTTGAAATTAATAGGTTTTGTCTTGTTAAATTGAGTTTTTAATTGATGGTAATTAGGAAGATTATTAAATAGTACTCTATAGAATTAATGCTTGATTAGATTAATATTTGTCGACTAAATTTACCTCTAATCCTATACCAGCGAACGATTTACTTTTCTAACGTTAAACTTATTTATTCCTAATGATGTCCATGTAATTGGTTTTCTTTTTGTAAAGTATCCTTTATTCGATGGGTATTTAGGACTTCTGCCAGTCCACATTATTCATTATCTTAGACTATGTAAACGATTATATACCAGTAGTTTCAGATACATGATTTTCGTCTTAAATTCTTGGAATATTCTGTAGATAAGTTTAATCAATTTACTGTATGTTTGCGTCTTAGGATAATTCTCTTTATTTTATTAAAAGCTACTGCTTCTTTCTGCGAATCATTTAGATCAATTGCATCGTGTCAATTTTTTTGGGAGAACTTGATGATTCAATCGTTGACTCTGTGTAGGTTACTCCACCATTTTTATTTTAAGTTTAATATTTACTTGAGAATTTATTATTCGAATTATTGTCCTAATAGTATTGCTCATTAATTGTTTATAGCTAGAGATTCTCCCGTCTAAGTATATTATTTGTTTATTAGGAACTAACTCTTCTGTGTAAACTTGATTAATTCTAATAAATCTCAAAATTTTTTGATGAACTTGAAGACATGTTACCTTAAAGCAAACCATTTCTCGATATTTTCCCCTCAAGAAATTTTATGCTTTTACTCTGGTTTTAATTTGCAGGTTTAAGGAATTCTAAGTAACTTCGATACTCTGCTAATTTTGCTGCTTTGTAGGTATTTTATTTGAGAGGCATTTCCTAAGGCGATCTATCAATGTTAGTCTGTTTTAAAACTTAATTTATGCTTTTCGAACTCATTCTAGGATTTTATATTTTTATATAATACTCTTCATTATAATTTATCAATACTTTCTTATCGGGGTTGATTAAGATGAAAAAATTAAGTGAGAGAATAACTTATGATAAATTATAATTAAGTTTTTAAAATGGTTATCAAGCTTGAGGCATTTAGAGAAATATATATAAATAACCTTGCCAATCAATGCGTTATAGACTGCTTTGCAGATCTCTGTTCAGGCTGGACTTAAGAGACTTTTAGGCAGGTAGTTATGACTTTGACGAGAAAAGGTGCTGCACCTATTAAGCTTTGGTTTGATTCCCCAGAAGAAATGACCGTACTTTCAAACAAAAGACCTGCTTTGCAAGAATTATTTAGAATTATGGATCATAATAATGTTGGTAGAATAGATACACTTGAAATATTCGCAGTTATATTGATCTCTATACAAGGCAAGTTTGAAATCATACTTCAAAACATGATGACTATATTTGGCTTTAATAATGAAAATGAGTTTTCTCGAGATGAATTTCATTTCTTTTTGGATTGCATGTTCAGAGGACTGTTGAAACTAGCGATACCTAAGGGCAGCAAGAAGCCTATTCATCCTGGCAAAAAGATGACATAAAGTGATATTGAAACTTTGGTTAGTCAAATCTTCCCAAACAATATTGATCTTATTGAAAGGTCAGACTTTATTGAGAGAATGACTCCCTCTAAGGACATTACCTAGATGATCCAGTACTTTCATACCACTTGCCTCCAATCAGTTGTTGACTACAGACAAAGAATACTTGATAGAATTCAAATCACTCATTTTGTAAGGAAGTTACTGCTTGATGTAACCAGAAGTGTCTATGCTAAAATTAAGGAAATAGAAGATCTAAAGGCTATTAAGGCTAAAGAAGAGGAAATTAAGCAGAAGGAATTACAGGACTAGTATTAATAGTAGAACTTAGATAGTTCAATTTCAAACAACTTAGAAGTATCTATGGATTAAAGAGAAGCTTTATAATCGAAAGGAGTATATATTGATCCCAGCAATCCAAGGAAAATTTTTCACAAAGATTCTCAAAGAAGAATGTGGAAATAGCAATGAATATTAAATTACCTTATATATTCTAATCAGCTAATACATTTTATCAACCTTTTTATATTCTTTGATAAAATGGACTCAAGGGGTTTTGGGGTTTTGGGGTTTTGGGG